GAGAAAATCAATAATTTTACAAAGTGTCTCTCTCATCAGAACAAGTTTTTCACAACTTGATAGGGTTGTGAAGGGTTACTTAAGTTTTAGATATGGGTGGTGATTCCCAGCTTGTGTGACAGGACTATTTTATTCTCAAAGTTGTTTTTCAGTAGGTTACCTAGAATTTGAAACATTGGTGGTTACACTTAACATGGGTTCAAAGAAAACTATCTGCTGCTAGGAAGAGCTGCCCAGGTGCATTGAGGAGAATAGATGTAGGTATCCTAACTCCGGTCAGAAGTCTAAGGGGGTCTCGGTGTACCTTGTGAGAAGAGAGCCCCATAAGCAATGACACTTTCATCTTGGCCTGTGCACCGCTGCAGGTCCCATTTGGAGCCTCAGACACAGGGCTTGCCTGTGTCTTTGAAATGGTTTTAAAATGATCTTTGATTTGGCTTATGCTCTAAAAGTGGATTGAAAGCAAGGGCTTTCTGCTTCGCTTGCCCATCAAGAGATGGAGTCGCAGGGGAGAAGCCCATTCCCCTCTAAAGAAGGCAGCACCTGGGGCGCCTGGGTGGCTCAGTGGGTTAAGCCGCTGCCTTCGGCTCAGGTCATGATCTCGGAGTCCTGGGATCGAGCCCCGCATGGGGCTCTCTGCTCAGCAGGGAGCCTGCTTCCTCCTCTCTCTGCCTGCCTCTCTGCCTGCTTGTGATCTCTCTGTCAAATAAATAAATAAAATCTTTAAAAAAAAAAAAAAAAAAAAAAAAAAGAAGGCAGCACCTGTGCAGATGGTGAGGGGAGAGAATAACATGCCCATTCAGTTTGAATGAAGGGGACATGGGAGCTCTGCCTTTTTGTCCACAAAGAGCACTGCGTAGCCTTGCGCTTCACGAGCTATCTCCTCAACCAGGTGAGAAGCAGAGCAACCGAGTATAGTAGACAGTCCTGGGTACAGAGTACTGGGTTCAACCCCTAGATCTAGCTCTATGTGAAAACTTGGCAAGTCCCGTATCCTTTTGGGCCTCCAGACCCTTCATCATTTCAGCTTTATGACCCCTGGAAGCCTTTCCTACTTTTACATTCTGTAATCTCAGAGGCTGAACAAAGTGAGGATTAACCCATAATGAAGTTCTCAGTTTCCAGAGGATTGGAACTCATGTTAAACACACCCCAGACTGAAGAAGCTATAGTATAAAGAGTGAGTCAGAAGATCCTAGTAGTTGATGTCATCAGGTATTATTAATGCAAGATAACAGTTCTTTATAAGCATATACTCCCTGCATTGATGGCCTATGTCCTTCAGAGCTAAGAGCTTGTCCTCTTGGCCATTGACTCCTCCAGGGCTAGCCTTTTTTGGTCTTTCTGTAGAGATTTCTGTGGCTGATCAATCCTTTTCATTGATACAGGTCTTCACAAGAATTGTCATGGTATTGTGTCATGTTATACGTTTTGGAATCCTGCCTTGTTAAAGTAATCTTATTTCCATATTTCCAAATTCTACAGGGAGGTAAAATATCAAGGGTGAATACACTGTGGAACTTAGATCCTAGGTTCCAGAAACAGGATAAAAGATTGAAGGGTCACAAAGGCTCCTTAGTCTATGTGATGATAACTGAAGTGGTAGCCAAAGAGCAGAGGTGATATTAAGGACATTTATCAGAATATATATATATATATATATATATATATATATATATATATATATATGACTAGAGGAATAACTAGATTGGGAGGGTCAGAAACAAAGAGCTGGAGATGTCTTTGAGTTTCCCAACATAGCTAACATGTTATTTAAGAAAGCATCAACAAGAGATTAAGCTATAGTCTATAGTCACTGAACTAAACTGTAATTTCTTAATGTTTATTTAATGGACCTTTAACGGTATGGTGACCTGATTATCTGAGATAATAATCCTATGACTGTAGAATAAAATCACAAACATTGGTGCCATGTCACCACTATAATCAGTGGGACAGTGCTATTGGTTATTCATATAGAATTTGGTGTTGTTCGACATTTTGGTGGAGCTCACCTCCACCAAGGGCTTTTTGGCCCCTTCCTCTCTTTTCCAACATCAGCAAATCATTGCACAGCTAATCCTCAAATAATCCGCAAATCATTGCACAGCTAATCCTCAAATAATAATAATTAGTATAATGTGTTATACTAATATACTAAGATCACTTACAGTGGTAAAATTGTTCTATTATATGGACACATTAATAGTTATGGACACATCTATAATTAAAGGCAGTGTTTCAGGGGCTTATGGATTTTCTGCTGCAATGGTTGTTTACATCTAGCATCTATTCCGTTTGGTTAATGCTGCATTGTTGAATTTTTAGAGATTGTCCTTGGATGTTTTAAAGTGCTGGGCTGGGCTCTGTTGACTGTAGAACAAACTAGTATTTCTGACTTGACCTATAGAGGCTCAGACTAGGGGAAACCACTGTGAGGAGGCAAGGAAAGACAGCCAACAAATGTGTAACGAGTAAATTGAGCCCCTTCACCAGTTGCAATAAGACAACCCAACTGCCCAAGTCATTATGATGGTTATGCTGCTATTTAAGGTTGATGAGGTCAAAGAGGGATCCTGCTATACATTGCAGTGATCAACATAATTTTTACAAAGCCACTTATTTAGCCTTCACAGTAATTCTGGTACTTTGCTAAGAAGTAAAATTTTCTTAAGTCAGTAACAGGAGTTTATCAGTGAAGATACTGTTACCTGAAGACTTCTAGGATGACTGGATGATATGCCTCAACCACATGATTTAAAATCTGTGTTCTGTCCCTCCAACAGCTATCCATGGGTTAGCATTATCTGAAGGCTAGGTGCCCTTGATTGTAGGAAGACTGTTAATAAAAACTGGAGCCAAGAGCAACTAGAGAAACAAGTTTCCTTGTTTAGGTAGAGTTTCTTCCCAAAACTCATATAAGAGCAAGCATACTTAGAAGTGCCTGTGTGGCTCAGTCAGTTAAGTGTCCAACTCCTGATTTTTGTCTCAGGTTATGATATCAGAATCATGAGATGGACCGCCTCTTTTGACTCTGCACTCAGCTGGGCATCTGTTTAAAATTCTCTCTCCCTCTCTTTCTACTCCCACCCTCACCTCTCTTTCTCTCTCAAATAAATAAATAAATCTTAAGGGAGAAAAAAAAAAGAGCAAGCATACTTTCCCCCAACCCATAGTAAAACATCCTGTCATGTCTAACAGGTTCACAGTGGTTTTGGCCAGCTGAGATTCAAACCAATCAACCATGGCAAGGCAGGTTTTGCATTACCCTGATAGGCTTAGACAAATCTTCTTATCCCTGGAGCTGGCACAGGGGTCAGCCCTCCAAACTACACACAGCCATTCAGAGAGGAAGGGTGGCTTGGATGTTTGGGGACAGTCTGGATTTATTAAAACTCACTTAGATTTATATAATATTTTCTAATTGAAAAGCCATTTTTATACATTTCATTTTACTGATATACCTCTTTTACTCTAAATGTAAGCCAAGGATAAGGTCCAGGTTTGTGGATGGAGCTGTCAAAGTTTTGTGTTTTTACCCAGTAGGGCTTGGCAAAACAGTAACTATTAAGGAAGGAGAACCAACAGGAAAATCTAAGATTGCAAGAAGGTTTAGTGGGCTAAAGGCAGACTCAGTGCTATTTTAGGAATTCAATATTTTTAAAAACAAAGTTGGAGTCTGTTTTCTTGAGGAGAATTGAGAATGGACTGGAAAACAGAAGCAAGAAAGGCAAGGAAAAAAAAAAGATGGGAACGGGTGATTTACATACTATATGGGCAACACTCTATGGACCCTAAGAAAAGGAATATTATAATTGTTAAAAGCTTAGTTGTTAAAAAAAAATGAAGAGGAAGAAAGGAAAGGAGGAAGGGAGGGAGGGAAGAGAGGAAGAAAAACTTTACAACTAACAGTCTTGAGTTACAAAGTGGCTGGGTCGCAAATACACTAAATTCCTGATAGAACAAATGTAGCAGCTTACTTAAGGTGCTTATGTAAGTGGGGCTACAGTTTGAAGGATAAGAACCAGGGTTAAAAATTTAGGGCTTCTGCAGGCTAGCACCAGCACTATCTGGGGGCTTCTGTGGCACTCCCTGGTGTTACCCTGTCTGAGGCTGTCTAGAGAAGGTCTGACATCTAGTTAGAGCCACATCCTTTGAGCTCAGATTCCAGAAACATATTGTTAACAGTTGATGTGCCTTCAACAAGAGGATCCTCATTTATCTCTTCTCTTCTTCCTCTTTCTCCACCTCTCCCATAACTCTCTTTTCTTTTTTCTTGGCTTTTGGAAGGTCTCATCTTTGGATAAAGTTCTTACATATCACAAATAATGAAGGGGTCCAATTTCAAGCAACTGACCAATTTCATCCTTGAGAGGTTCACATAATAAAACTATATAAAGTAACTTTTTCAATCACCTACATAAACATTCTCCTATTAGATTATACTTCTAAATCTCATTATCTTTTTAATAATCTTATTAAAAACTTCCTTATCTTGTAACACTACATCCAAAACTAATGACATGCTGTATGGTGATTAACATAATAAAACATAATTAAAAACAATAATAAATAAATAACTTTCCCTATTATCTCCTGCCAGGGAGATAGAAGGAACTAAATTTAAGAAATTTCTAACACCTGTAAGTTACTAAAAAGTAAATACATGGACCTTTCAGCCCTGCCCCTGCAAATTCATTCCAGTCACACAGAGACAGGATAGATGGCCTTCAAACCCCCTTCCCCTTGGAAAAGGGACAGTTCTTAGGTAGAAGCTGAGTTTGCAGTAAACAGGCCAGTGAATATGTTTCCCAGGACCTCTGTTCTTGGGAGAAGGACTTGTGCCCTGATGACCCATAGAGTTCTTAACAACAAACACTGAAGCCCGGAATAGAACCTTTTGATCATAGTGCCCACATGTAACTAAGCACCCTCACGGGTCTGCTGACAGAATACTGGAGGCCGTGTCCCAGGTAGGAAGAGAAATGTCTGATCCCCAGGTCCAACTGGGCATCTTGTGGAGAAACCACCAGAAGAGAAACTGTCAGAACTTGTTGGACAGCATCAGTAATCAGGGAAACAGACACTATTCCACATTTGGAGAGAACGTAAAGCTTATGGAAACAGAGAAGTCCTACTCAATTCTGTCCTTCAACTGGAAAGAAGAAAACTTGTTGAAAAAGAAACTCAATTTTCTGGAGTCCATGAAGAAATATGAAGCTAATGCCTGGCTAATGGAGCAGAAAGCCTTTTATAAACAATGCCACTTGAAGCTCCGAAGGTCAGAGCTGGCACATGCCCGGTTGCTAGGCAACAAGGACCTGGTCAAACACCTCACTTCCAAGAGCTTGTTGTCCAACTACACCTCCACCATGGTGGATGAGAGTGAGGCAGCAGTGAAGGCAATAGTCCAGAATAGGAGAGGGTGGGAGAAGGACACGATGATTTTCAGACTCAGCCTGGATAAGAATAGGCTCTACCCATCCCTCAGTAGTAGTCTGCTGAAGAAGGTGGAGGCCCGACCAGCTTCCAGGGCAACTTTAAGGGCAAACTCTAAGACAGAGAATGAAAAGACCACTGTAAAAATCAAGAGGTCTCCTTCCAGAGAGGAGGGCAAGCCAGCTTTGGTTTTATCTTTGGAGTCTCTGAAGAGCCCACAGCAGGAAGAAAAACAGAAAAAGCTTCCTGTAGATAGCAAGTCACTGCTGGACAGAGAAGGAATTACAGGGGACTTTTCCAGCAGGCCAACAAGCATTGTGCAGAGCCATCTCCAAGATTCAGGCACTGACAGGAAATCGAAAGGCAAACTTCTTAAATATATAGTGTATGGAGACAGAAGTGTGGAACACCCCAAAAAGAAAATGCCAAGACCCAGGAAAAACCCCCATGGCTCAGAAAGCGTGCAAATGGACCCAGCACTGCTGACCCAGATTCAAGCCTTCCTGAGGCAAAAGTTTCTCATAAATGAAAGAACTACATATCTGGAGGACAGAATCCAAGGTCTTCCACAGCCCACACATTTTCTCTTTCAAGATTACTCTCCCAACAGTCCCTTGGAGAAAGGAAGTGAGGGAGTACTGCATGCTCCAGTAATCAGAACACATGCGGTAGGAAGAGAGCAGAAAATCATTCTTGAAGAGATCAGAAAACAAATCTGAAGCAATTCCATCACCAAGAACACTTTTTTTTCCCTAAGGTACTCTTCCCCTCTCTACCCATTTATCATTCAGCAACAATTTCTTAATATTTAACAAAGAAAACATTACCCCTGACCTCAAACTGCTGCTGAACTCAGGGAGAAAAGGCTTTTTTTCAAATTCTTCTATAAAAACATGACAATCAAGGCAGGATTTAACAGTAAGAAAGTGGACAAAGGTCATGACTGGCTCTGCACACCTTGAATTATGAAGACACAAAGATAAGCAGAGAGCACAGGCTGTGCTGGGACCAGGGCATCTTGAACGTTCCACAGCAGGTTTTATCTCCACACCAAACACTTCTTGAGGAGTAATATCTAAGAGGAAAGTGATCCTGGGAAACTCTTTGCTAATATTGCTTTACTGTAAAAAGAGAGTGAAAGAAAATAATTTGGGAAATGTTCGCAAATATGCTTTTTCAGTGGCATGAAGAGTGAGTGGGAATGGAAATTGACTCTAATTTCTCACCTTTTTGTAATGAAAACAAATGAAAACTAGTTGACTTGAAAACTAGGAGAAATCTCTTTCTCTCTTTTCCTCCCCCAATCCTTCATCCCAGGTGAGAGCCTTATGGGGAGTCTCCTTACATTTCATTAAGCAAAGACACTGCTGACTGAAGCAGGCCGAAGTTTACTGGCGTGATAATGTGGAAAGATCATGAAGTGGGAGGCAGAGGTTCTGGTTTCTACCTTTATTTATATAAATGCAATGGCCAGAGTAATCTTGGGCAAAGTGCTTCACAATTTGATACCTGTTTCCTCATCTATAATATGAGGGTTAGACAATATGATCTTTTAGGTCACTTTTACCACTACACTTCCTCAGTACAATTACTTTGACTTGTATCACAAAAACAGGTATCAGATGGCTGCCCTTGAGAAAAATAAAACATCTTCAGTCTTTTGTCCCTCCAGTGGACTTTCCATTGATAAGTTAATATTTCAGACTTTTTTCTGAAGTAACATAAGGCAGTAAAAATCTTTTTATTCTCAATTAGGTGATAATGAAATAACTATATATGATGGTAATTTTATACTTAAATAAACAATGGTTTTTCTTTAAATATTATTTCTGTATATTTCCTTAATATTTAAGTCCCACGATGACAGCAAAGTAACCTAAGAATATGGAATTAATGAAAGCACATGGCTCTTTCATCACAGGTTTAGTGTCACCTGTGAAAATCAGATGGCTGACATGAGTCCCATTTGCAGGTAGAGGATACTCCTGTCACATATTGCAGTAGTCTATGCTGTCCCAAATAATTGTTTCCACTTCATTTGGGTTCAATGCAAATTTTATTAATTTCCTCTGTGGGTTATTTGAGTAGAAGCATTGGAAACACACAAATGGTTACCAGAAACAAAAAGCCACCTTTAAATAAATCATGTGATTACAAGAGTGATTTTGAAGTGGGAGGCTAGGTGGAGAACTGGGGTAGGGAGGAATAAAGCAGCTCTCTTTAAAGTCACTTAGGAAAATGTGATTTATTTACTCACCACATTTTTAGGAATATATGGAAAACAAACTGGTTTTACTCTTACTGCTTTCACAAACCAGCTATATTCATAAGGGTTGTGCTGTCCCTGAACAGTGGAAAGAAACTGTGAGAGGCACCAGAATGGCAGAAAAGTTCCAAGGTCCTTCTTCACATTCAGGAACAATTCTTACATTACCTTTTACTGGTAGTTTCTATAGAGAACTGGAAGTCCAGATGACAAATCAGGCCCTTCAGCTTTGCAAGTATAATTTCATTCATTCATATACTCCTTCAATAGTTATGTACTGGACATTAAGGTAAAGAAAATAGACATGTTCCTATTCTCCTGGAGTTTACAATTTAGGAAGGAAGTTAGGCAGTAATTAAGCAAATGAAAAAATTCATTGTGATAGGCACTATAGAATTATGATGAACATTTTGGAGAACCCAATTTAAATTTGAAAAAGATGTCAGCCCCATTAATAATACATATTGAAGTCAAATGGCATTTTCACTGCATTGGATTGCATTCACAGAGTGCAAGCATAATGGATGCAATTTTGAAATGCATTTTTAGGTAAAATACTTCCATTTCACAGGCCCAAGTTTACACTGTCTAGTTGTGGTGAGCTGGGATAGTCTCAATCTCAGTTTGAAGCACGTGAAGGTTATGTTCTTGTCCTTGGTGTTATCTCTGGAACAAGTCTACCTTCTTATTTGACTCAAGTAACAGATTTTATATCATCACTGTCTCCTTTAGGGTGCACTGAGAAGTAGATCAAACCCAGCAGTATCAGGTGGTGATAGGTCCTGAAAGGTAGATAATTGATGTAATTGACTTCAGAATTTATAGATCACATTTCAAAGTTTTGAAATACTTTCACTTAGCTGATTTATCTTCATGTGATGCACATATATACCCTTCTTAAAAGCTCCAAGAGGAGTTGCAGTCAATGGGAGGGTGTCAGTCAGTGGTGTGCTAAATTACAGCAGTGAAGATGAAAAGGCATTTCTGAGACACCCAGATTGCTGTGTAGCTGGTACTTGGGGCACAGCCATGAATAAGACAAAATCACGGACTTTATTGGGCTTGGTTTCTAGTGGAGCACAAATAAAAATGAGCAAACTAACAAAAACAACATCAACATCAACAATTTTCCTTTATTGAAAGTTCAATGTGTAACTCAAAAGCTACCATTTTAACATGATACTGACCATATTCTTCTTCCTTCCCTTTATTCCCTTTCCCTGGTTCCTACTTATGGGTTTACCTATGGCCTATATGACCTATATGCTGAAGAGGCAACATTTTTATCTTCTGTGCATGCTTTTCTTTAGAAACATATTTCTCGCTCTCTCTCTCTCGGAAGCTTCACTTGCATCTTTCAGATACTTCGACTAAAACAGCTAAACCCAACTGTACTAGATTTCCCTCCAAAATCTGCTCACCTTCTGTTTAGACCCAATAGCCCCAGTATCTACCCAGTTACCCAAACCAGAAATGTGGTAGTTTTTCTGACTCCTCTCTGTCCCATGCAAGAATATCTAATCAGTCACCTGGTTCCAGTCCCTAACATGTCTTAGATTGTTCCTTCCCTTCTCTTCGTAGCTCTTATATGCATTTCTAGCATTAAGTCAACAGTCTCCTAACTACAAAAACCACATGGCACTTATGCTCTTCCAGTTTATATTATAAAATAGATATAGAATGCAAAACTGATTATCTTTGCTTCTTAATGTCTGCAAAATAAAGTCCCAAGTGTTTGGTATTGTATTGTCTACAAGGCCCTCCATGATCTGACCTATCATTGTCCTTTCCAACCCCAACTTGATCCTTTTATGTCTCACAGTGAGGCATATTGAACACCCTCCACTTATCTGCCTAGTATATACCTACCTATCCGGTAAGATTGAGTTAAAACTTTTCCTTTTTTTTTTAAGTTTTTTTTTTAAATTAACATATAATGTATTATTAGCCTCAGGGGTACAGGTCTGTAAATCATCAGGTTTACACAATTCACAGCACTCACCATAGCACACACCCTCCCCAATGTCCACAACCCCACCGCCCTCTCCCAACCCCCCTCCCACCAGCAACCCTCAGTTTGCTTTGTGAAATTAAGGGTCACTTATGGTTTGTCTCCCTACCAATCCCATCTTGTTTCATTTATTCTTCTACTACCCCCTTAACCCCCCATGTTGCATCTCCACTTCCTCATATCAGGGAGATCATATGATAGTTGTCTTTCTATGATTGACTTATTTCGCTAAGCATGATACCCTCTAGTTCCATCCATGTCGTCGCAAATGGTAAGATTTCATTTCTTTTGATGGCTGCATAGTATTCCATTGTATATATATGCCACCTCTTCATTACCCATTCCTCTGTTGATGGACATCTAGGTTCCTTCCATAGTTTGGCTATTGTGAACATTGCTGCTATAAACATTCAAGTGCACGTGCCCCTTTGGATCACTACGTTTGTATCTTTAGGGTAAATACCCAGTAGTGCAATTGCTGGATCATAACGTAGCTCTATTTTCAACTTTTTGAGGAACCTCCATGCTGTTTTCCAGACTGGTTGCACCAGCTTGCATTCCCACCAACAGTGTAGGAGGGTTCCCCTTTCTCTGCATCCTCGCCAGCATCTGTCATTCCCTGACTTGTTAATTTTAGCCGTTCTGACTGGTGTGAGGTGGTATCTCATTGTGATTTTGATTTGTATTTCCCTGATGCCAAGTGATGTGGAGCACTTTTTCATGTGTCTACTGGCCATCTGGATGTCTTCTTTGCAGAAATGTCTGTTCATGTCCTCTGCCCATTTCTTGATTGTATTATTTGTTCTTTGGGTGTTGAGTTGGCTAAGTTCTTTATAGATTTTGGATACTAGCCCTTTATCTGATATGTCATTTGCAAATATCTTCTCCCATTCTTTCAGTTGCCTTATGGTTTTGTTGACCGTTTCCTTTGGTGTGCAAAAGCTTTTGATCTTGATGAAATCCTGATAGTTCATTTTTGCCCTTGCTTCCCTTGCCTTTGGTGATGTTTCTAGAAAGAAGTTTCTGTGGCTGAGGTTGAAGAGGTTGCTGCCTGTGTTCACCTCAAGGATTTTGATGGATTCCTGTCTCACACTGAGGTGCTTCATCCATTTTGAGTCTATTTGTGTGTGTGGTATAAGGAAATGGTCCAGTTTCATTTTTCTGCATGTGGCTGTCTAATTTTCCTAACACCATTTGTTGAAGAGACTGTCTTTTTTCCTTTGGACATTCTTTCCTGCTTTGTCAAAGATGAGTTGACCATAGAGTAGAGGGTCTATTTCTGGGCTCTCTATTCTCTTCCATTGATCTATGTGTCTGTTATTGTGCCAGTACCTACTGTCTTTATGATGACAGCTTTGTAATAGAGCTTGAAGTCTGCAATTGTGATGCCACCAACTTTGGCTTTTTCAACATTCCTCTGGCTATTCAAGGTCTTTTCTGGTTCCATATAAATTTTAGGATTATTTGTTCCATTTCTTTGAAAAAAATGGATAGGCTTTTAAAAAAGATTTTATTTATTTGACAGAGAGATCACAGGTAGGCAGAGAGGCAGGCAGAGAGAGAAGGGAAGCAGGCTCCCTGCTGAGCAGAGAGCCTGATGCAGGGCTC